TATTGATCCAACTATTTAAATAATGATGACTCAATTCAAAATACTTTTATTGACTCAATTAATGACTCATATTATTTTATACACACTTACATAATATTTAAGTAATTAATTTCTTTTAAAATGAAATGAATCATTTTAATTTATAAAATAAATAATTTATATATAAAAAAATATTATAAAAATATGGAGTACTATAGTGTGATTGTGTTCGTGGTGGGGTAAGAGAAGAAGGAGGGCGAGGGAGAAAGGGAGGGGGCTCGCCGATGGGAGGAGTTGTCAGGGCACTGACAAGCTAAAGTCGTATCACCTAATCAAAGTAATTACCTAAGTCCTCTAACTAATTATAGATAGGTAAGTAGGGTCGAATCCACAGGGAAACAAGTTATTCCTTAATAATTAATATAATCTAGATTATCAAGTAGCCAAATTATTGTTTTTTATAGGAATCGAACAAAGGAGAATAATTAAACTAAAACAAATTAAATAAGGGAGGAAATCAATAAATCAAAACCTAGGGTATAGGTTCACCAATAAATAATATTCCACGGTAAAACACAACAATCAATTATCAATACATCTATTAATCAGATCATAAAGGACTTTCGCTACGTATTACAATTACAGAATTAATCTACCGGTATTAAATCACATCTCTCGAATCTTGACTTAACCGTTTATAAATTAACTTTCCTATTGAAACTAAGCCAAAAAATCAATTCTCATCTCTCGAATCTCGAATCAATATTGCATAACTCATACAATTAGACCTGCGCAAATCTAATTTAGCTTTAACTCGATCAATCAATAGGAAATCAATCAAGCATTGACAATCAATAATAATAAATTACCCCTTCATATTATTTATGGATCCCTAAAACCCTAGAAATAAAACTGCTCGTGCATAATTAAAACTAAACTAATCAAAGCAATTAAATAAAGCATAATAAATCAAAGCAATTAAATTACTGAAAATAAAAGGGGAAGAAATCATTACCAAAATAAACGGAAATAAAGGATTGCATAAAACCCTAAGTGTAGAGAGAGAAAACAAGAGTATTAACTAAAAGCCTAAAACTAAAAAACTAAAACTCATGAAAGATGTCCCAAAACTCGCTTAACAAAAGCATACTTACACTTAGGCTAGAAAATCCTAATTAAAACAAAGTAAAAGTCGCGTTAGTCTCCTTAGAAACACGCGCCCGGTCGGGCAGAGGTTCGCCCGGCCGGGCCCGCCTTCGGGCGAAGAGTTGCTTCTTTCCATCTGCCTCACCCGGTCGAGCGCGCCTCAGAGCGAGGGTCTTCCCGGTCGGGCGAGCACTCGGGCATATGTGGACTTCTTCGATTGGGCTATTTTCTTGGCCCAATTTGCATTTCCTCCTTAGGTCTTTAAGACTCGGTCCATTGCCTCGGTTTCTTCTTCTTCGCCGAGCCCTTAAACACCGGTTTGATTGCTCCAACACGGCCTTGGGCTTCGGATTGTGGTCATAATAATGCGATCCTACTCCAACGCTCGTAGTGGCTCAAATAAGTCCGGGAAAATGCTCCAAATCCGCAATTTCCTATAAAACAATACCAAATCTACGAACACTAGAATACACATATTAGTGATAAGAGTGGTTCTAAAGAGCCAAGAATACTCCTAAATACGACCATGGGACGGGGGTAAAACACTATATAAAATGAACATATCAGGCACCGACCGAAGGTGGGCAGCCGGTCGCCGACGACGACTTGGGGTGATGGGCTGGGTTGTGGTGGTGGGAGGGGTGGTTAATTGGGTTTAATTCTTAATTAATAATTAATTTCTAATGAATTCTTAATTAAGTTTTAATTATATTATTTTCTGATTTTTCAATTTTTCAAAAATGTTAGGCAAATTAGAATAAGACACATGTTAGTTTTTTTTATATAATTTTTTTTATGGTTTTAATTTTTTTTTTTTTTGAAATTTTTTTGGACCAATCACGTGTTGATACGTGTCTTGATAACCTGTTATAACAGGTCATTAACTTTGTGTTGACCGGTTGGGACCATTGGAGGAAAACACATAGCATATTTAGGATTATTAAAAAATAAACCTTAGTTGGGATTATTAGAAATAAATCGCCCATAGTTGGGATTATTAAAGTGTATTTTTTCAAAAAAAAAAAAATTATGGCTAAGAATTAAGTAAATGGGGCAGATTGGAAATATAGAGTAAAATTTAAGGAGATGAGAGAATGAAAATCTTTGTCATCCAACGGAAGATGAAACGATAGGGGAATGATGGAACTAGGAGGTCATTTATTATTGTGACAGTCAAAATTGTTTCAATTTCCTAAGCTAAGATAATAAGCTGTATTCATACTACAGATTGGAATATAATTTTTAGAGCAATGTTAAGTAGGGTAGCTCACAAAGGGAAAAAAAAAATATCATTGATCCTTGCTTTTAAGCGGGAAAAAAAATTAAATAAGAGATTGACACATAAACAGTAATGACATCAGCGGTTGTTATTTTAGTAATATTTATAGATAAGGTCATGTTGTTAAAGAGATAGATCATATAGTCCATAGAGATAGTGAATGTCTTTCTCCATTTGCCTTTATTTATTTATTTTTTTTTTATTTTTTTTAATAACTAAGGTAGTTAACGTGCGCACCATAGGTAGCCATATTTAGGGAACTCATCAATTTCGCCGTATGTCACAAATTGAGTTGTTGACAGTTAATATTAACTGAGTAAAAAATATGTAAACAACTATTTTTAGTGGTATATATGTTTGCACATTATTCATAATAGTTTAAAAAAAGAAATAGTTAACATCAATGAGGACAAATAAGTAAACAACTATTTTAAAAGGTATAAATGCCCGCACACTATTCATAAGAGTTTGCTTGAACTTTTAAATAGGAATAGGAATGAGATGGTAGATAACTCCTCTTTTATATTAGGGCACAACTATAAGCTCAACACAACAACAACACCTCCATCCCACCCCATCCCATCCAAATCTTTTTTGGGTGAAATTCAATCTCGCGACTTGCAAGAGTAACTATGAACAATTGATTTATTCTCAAATAAGCCATTAATATAATATTTAACAATATGTGTAGACTTTTACATTTAGAGTGTAGTTGTGCATAGTAGATGTTACAAGCTATCTGATATGTGTTCAATGCACGTAATACATGAATTATGAAACTAGCACTTTGTTTGGATAGAAAGAAATGGAAGGAAAAGAAGAGAAGAGAAAGGGATGGGAACAAATTCTCTAATTTGGGTAAAGGATTGGGGGAAGGAAGGAGAGGGAGGGATCCATTTTCCATCTCTCTATAATAAGCATAAAATCTCTCCAAGATTGGAGAGATTTGGAGGGAAAATGGAGCTTACGTCCCCCTTCCTCCTTTTTCCCTCCCCTTCCTTTCCTTCCTTCTTTTCTATCCTAACAAAGCGTAATATACATTATATTTGGTTAAATAGAAGAATAGCTTGGATTTTCGAATTCTTTACCTATTACGGAGTACTCCATCATTTAGAGGAGAAAATTATTGAGATAATCGTCCCTAGATTTCACAAGATTATAAATGGATAATCGTTTTTAAATTTCACAAGATTATAATTAAATCCGAAATTCTTAAAAACAATAAAGTTTAGGGAAAATTCAAAACTTAGAGCTACCTTTTTTACTTATGAGCCGAGGAAGGAAAGCGCCTCACCTTTCTATGCATTTTATTTTATTTTTTAAATTTTTTGCAGCATATCCTGTGTCTAGTCACAACATTTGTTTATGGGAATAATCATCACTCCTGAATATGAGAATTCTCAAATATCCATGTGCACAACCTTAATTTGTCCATAAGAGTAACGTTAATTTATTATACGAGTATTAAAAGAATAACTCCACTTAATCATAAGAGTAATCTCATGTTTCCAATGCGGTAACTCTTACAGTCAAGGTAACCCAAGTTGATTATTGGTGTAACTCCTATTACTTAACTAGTTGTTTATAACAGTTATACATACATAAAGTGGCTACACCATGTGGTTAGCTACATATTTTATTTTTTATCTTATTTTTTATTTTTTGAATGACTATTACACAAAAAACATAAAAATGGAAACGCAAGGTGCCAAGGTGTATGAAAGCAAAAACGTGGTGTATGAAAGCAAAAAAGTAGAGCAATAAACTAAAGTCAGCAAAATAAATTTTAATCAGTAAAAGTCAATAGCTTAAAAGAGCAAAGATAAAAGATAATTAGAAAATTTTAATTTTAATTTGAAAAAATGATTTTAGTTCAACAAAATTAATTTAAAGTTAGTAAATTAAATTTCAGTTTAAAATACTTTTTCACATTTTAACTCGTTGGAAAAGGGGAAAAAATTCTCCACTCACCTCAATTTACGAAAAAACAAGCAACAAAAACTACACGTGCCATCACATGAAATATTTCATGCCAAATATTTGTTAAAAAATGTTACTCCGTATTAGTAAATATGAAGTCAACAAACTATGGTGATATAAATGATTAAATGCACATTATAATTTTTTTTTTTTTGACAGAACGCACTCTAATCCTTTAGTTATTACGTTATTTTTTTTATAGATTCGTATGTCTCAAATATAAAGTCCGTATGTTATTATCCTCTATAATACGGATTAATTTTTTTTTTTTTTTTTAAAAGGAATCCTCTACAATAATTTTAAATTTTTTTAAAAAAATCCTCTATAATAATTACAATCAGACAATATCTTTTAGATTATGGTAATATTAGATACTCATAATCCTAATACATCTTTTTTGATACGTAATCCATCATCAATAATGAAATAATATCCAAAGTCTATCCTAATTCCTAAATACATTTACCCTGTCATTTTATTTTTAAAAAATATTTATTTTTCTCAGACTTGGAAAAGCAAATTTTACTCTTTGATACACAAAAACATAGAAAAATGAGCTCAAGATGAAATCACGACCGTCCAAAAACGCGGGAAAACAATATACCCTTTCTTTTCCCTTTATTGTTTTACTTTAATTTATTTATAAAAAAAATAATGACAACCCAAAAGAAGCTGTGAAATTGTCAGTTATCTTACATTTCCTTCTTCTTCCTCCTCTTCTCCATACTTATTACACTACCAACAACAACAATCTCTTTCTCTCTCTAAAAACTTCTCCATTTTCTCTCACTAAAAAAACCCACCTTTTCACGCTCTGAAAAAACCCACCATTTTCTCTCTCTACTGTAATCATGCCACCAAAGAAGCGTAGAAGTGAAGTTGACGACCTCGCAGGAGAAGTGCCTCCCACCGTCGAAGTTCCGTCGCAAAGAAGGGTGACTCGGAGTTTGACTCGGAGTGACGCGGTCCCACCATCTCAGGTGGCTTCCAAGAGGAAAGGGAAGAAGCCCAAAACGACGGCTGAAGTGCCCAAAACGATGGCTGAAGAGGAGAAGAAGGATGAGACTGATGATACTGAGGAAGAAGAAGCTGTTGTTGATGATGGTGATGCTGGTGCTTCTGGGTCTGGTTCTGCTGCTACTACTATCATCATTGAGCATTGGTATATCTTTGTCTTCTTTGATTTTTCTCTCGTTTTTGTAAATTTTTCTGGATTTTTAGTGATTTTTGTTTTAGGGTTTGGTTTGTTGATGGAAGAAAGGAAATGGGTTTTAATTTTTCTGGGTTTCATTTTGTTTTTTCGAATGTGTGTGTTTATCTTCTGGGTTATAATAATATCTGGGTTTGTGTTTTTCAGTAGCATTTTTTTTGTATGTTTTTTTCGTTTTGGGTTTGTATAAGGGTTTTCAAGATTTTCTCTCTCTTCGTTTGTTTGGGTTAATAATTGAAGTTCTTTTGATGGTAATTGATTATGGATGTTCTTGTCATTATTATCATATTAATTGTGAAATTATTGGTGACATTTTGAAGAAAGTGGACGATTGTGTTGTGTGTGTGCTACATTTTGAGCCATTATTATCATCTGACATTTTTATTGTTTCTTCTGTACTGTGCTATTTTGACTATTTGGAATTGTTTGTCAAAAAAAATGTATTGATTTAAGATACAAAAAGTAAATGAGTACTCAGTGTTTTGTGGATTTCCTATATGGGTGAATTTGGATGAATTTTGTGTCACTTGACGTCTTGAATTTGCATACGGATTTTGCTTAATATTAATTTTTTCTTCATTACAATCGTTTTTGGATCAGCATTGAAATTCAGTTTATAATGGATTTAGTTTGAACTTGTGTTTGAATATTTGACTAGTACGCACAAATTTGCATAAAGGGCTCTGTGATAATGTGGACTGACTTCCTGTTAGTAACATCATTAGGGTAGTGGGAATGTCCTTGACATTGTGGTTTTGGCTCTACATTATTTGGAAAAGATGTGTTGTGGGTAAACGAGGTGTTGTTTTGGTGGTGATAAAATGTATGTATGATATATGCTGGCAGAGTTGGGGTAGTAGTTCTCATTAGGGGTGAGCAAGACCGGGTACCCGGTCATATTTGTAATACCCGGATCCGGAACCGGTTATAACCGGGTCCCAAGAATTGGAACTGGTCCCGGAACCGGTTAATACCGGATCCAAATTTTTTGGAACTGGTCCCGGACCCGGTAGGAACCGGTTCCAAAACCGGGTACCCGGTATTATTCAACGTAGTAAAATACTGTTTTTTTCTTTATAATTGTTATATAATATATTATTATATATAATGGAATTTTGCAGGCTAGTTATATTAACATAATAATATCCCTAAATTAGTTTTGGAGGCTAGCAAAATACAAATATTTCAAAATACAAATATTACAAACTAATAAGCCAAAAAGTACCAATTCAACAACCTAAAATATCAGTACAACAAACTTCAACAATGCTGCAAAGTCCAAACATCCAAACATAACCAAAACAACTACTTAAATAAAAGTTCAGAAAAAAAAAGGGAAGAAAAGGAAGGGCAGCAACAGGCAGCAGCTGAGCACACCATCAGCAGGCAGCAGCTGAGCACACCATCAGCCAGCAACAAGACCAGCAGCAAGTCAGCAACCATCTAAGCAACGGAGAAAGACAGCATACAGCAGACAACAAAGCAAAGAGGCAGCAGCCAACAAGGAAGCACAAATTCCCTATAAACAAAAGCCAAAATGTCCTTAGAATATTTGTCATTTGATATCTTTTCATACAATATAATTAAGAATACAATTATACAAACCTTTGTCACATCAATTATTTCCAACAAATTCATTAACTTGTGTGATGCCAGTGTCACTACCATCCAATTCTAAAAAAAAACAGTAAACAATATAAGTAATAAACTTAGAGAAATAAAATAGATAAATATACAAAATAATAGAAGTATTAGTGTATTACCTTCTTCATATTTTTGAACATCCTCAAGGAAGCGCTCAATATCAATGCATACATTTGACGCCCTTAACCAATCTTGAGTACAAACTAAAGCTTCCACCATATTTGGCCCCAAACTACTACGAAATTGATCAAGTATGCGACCCGATGTACTAAATGCGGATTCACTAGAAACCGTAGAAATTGGTATAGCCAAAATGTCCTTAGCCAATGTTGACAATACTTTGTATTTGTCACTTTTTTCTTTCCACCAACCCAAAATATCAAACATTTCCCCTTCAACCCTTCTCTCCCGAGCTTCTTCAAGATAATAATCCAATTCACTTTTTTCAACAATAAAATCACTTTCTTCCTCATCAAAATCATCATAAAACTTTTTCATTTGCTCACTATTTGAAGAGCTCAAGTTTTCAGAACCATTATCCACATTGGCAACATTAATATTACGATTATTCTTGGAAGAGGAAGAAGCAATAATAGCATCATAATGGTTAAATAACTTCTGAACATTGTCATACAAATTGTCACAAATAACATCGACTTTGGCAAAGTCGTTAGGATAAAGTTTTTTAAAAGAATACTTCAAAAACCTAAGCTTATATCGAGGATCTAAAACAACCGCAACTAACATCATGATATTAGTTTTACCGAGATCCCCATAATACTTATCAAACTTTTCCCTCATTTGTCTACCCATAATACGAATATCCATATTTGTAGAGTTTTCCCATTCTATCAAACAACTTAACACCTCCAAAACCTCGTGAAAATACAAGTTTGTAGTAACATATAAACTACCCGACATTTTCTTTGTAGACTCATAAAATAATTTCAAACACAAAGACAACACTTTAGCATTTACCCAATCTTCTTGTGTAGGTACTCCATCCTTGAGTTCCCTACTAAAATCAGGATCATCTTCCGCAAACCTATTAAAAGCTTTTTCAAATTTCAATGCGGTTTCAAGCATGAGAAAGGTAGAATTCCATCTAGTTGCCACATCAAGACAAACTGAACCTTTACAAGAAACTTTAACCAACATAGAAGAGTGTGCAAACAATTTAGCTCTAGAAGGTGAACTCCTCACATATCTAACAGCAGCACGAATTCGAGCAATCGAAGACTTCACACTAGATAAACCATCTTTCACAATCAAATTTAGAACATGACAAGCACATCTCATATGAAAAAATGAACCCTCCAAAACAAGTTTATCATGAAAATGTGTTTTCAAATATCCAACCGCCACATCATTTGAACTAGCATTATCAACAGTTAAAGAAAACAATCGATCCTCAATCTCCCATTTAAGAATACATGCCTCCACAACTTTTCCAATTTCCTTACCTTTATGACTATCCATTAATTGAAAATTTAAAATTCTTTTATGCAACTTCCAATTATCATCAATAAAATGAGCAGTCAAACAAAGATAATTAAAATTTTGAATGGAGGTCCAACAATCAGTTGTTAGTGACACTCTCGATTTCAAACACCCAATTAATTTCTTTAATTTTCCACTTTCACAAACAAATATATTCTTCACATCTCTTGCAACTGTAAAACGTGAAGGTATATGAAATTGAGGTACAGCAACACTACAAAAATACCTAAAACCTTCACGCTCAACAATAGAAAATGGTTGTTCATCAACAATAACCATTCTTGCCAAACCAAGTCTACAAGCAGTTTCATCAAATTTCCAATTAGAGACTATAGTAGCATCAGATTCAGGAGACTTGTAAACAGAAATGAGTTTTTGCTTTTTGTCTACATTTGGAGGGTATTTTGAACATGCACCAAGGTGTTTCTTTAATGAAGAAGTTCCATTATTAGTATTACCTGTTAGCATTTTCTCACAATATTTGCATTTGACTTGAACAATTTTTTTGGTTACTGGATCTCTAAAATCCCAAAAATGGTTCCAGTATTCAGACTTCCTCTTGTCACCAACCTTGGTTGATTTGGTTGTTGCATTCTCGTTTCCAACCTCACTTTCATCATCCATAGGGACTGACGAATTGTCGGTATTGCTCATAGTTCTGAAATAGGAACAAATTAAACTTTAATAAGACATAAACATTACACAAAGTGAGAGTGATTATATGCATTACACAAATACATACAACAGTCAGAACTGATATTGTCTCACTCACATAAACACAAAGAAAGAAAGGAGAGACAATATGCACAGATCCTAGTACATCATCTTCATGAAGAATACAAAAAGGAATTGGAACTTAATAAAGAAAAAATGGTAATTAATCTTATGAAAAGAAGGTTCCTTTAGTTGTTGAAACACTTTCTCCTCTATAAAAACCTTTTAAACAAGCAGAATTCTACATAGAAATCCAACTGTAGTTCCTGCACATGCATCACCATCTACATCTTTCTCCACAACTACAAATTTCAGAAAAGACCAGCTCAATAAAACAAGAAATAGATCTGAAAATCTGAAAAAAACAAGGTAAACCAATATCATGATAACTAGATTAAAAAAAAAAAAAAAAAAAAACACTATTGCAAAGATGCAAGGTGAATGTGATCAGAAGATGGGATTGTAGTGTAGTGTAGTATGATTTTTTTATTTAATCATTCAGTCAGGAAAAAAATTCAACAAAAAATTTTTGAACTTTGGGAAATATCTCCTCTAAAGAAATTTTTCCACTAATCCATCGCAAGTGGTAAAAGCCAAAAGATAGAACATTGAGTTATTGACTCTGTTTCTTCCAATGTTTTTAACTCTATCAGGGAGAATGCAAGCAGCAAACATAACATCATTAAAACGAAACCCCAGTGTACCCACCTCATGTACTGAGATCAACACCACAATGTTAACAGCCAAACAACAACTTCTATAAAAGCAATGACTGAACTAAACATGTACAGCAACTAAAAATGGTACCCACCAATTAATACTCAATAAGAATCTATTCAAACACCCAGAAATTGCAGAAAAAGACTATAAGTGCAGTCAATTTGTACCAATTCATTGATTTCAGCATATTAAACACTCGTAACACCCTCAGAAATTGAAGAAAATAAAAATTAAAATTAACATAAACACTCTAACTATCTCCAAAGAAAATGCAAGCAGTAATAAACAGTACCAGAGATCTACATATGCAAGATGAAACAAAAAGCAAACAAAGTGAGAAAAATACTTACGAAAGAGACAGTCGTTCGGTGGCTTGATGAGAACGAAAGAGAGGATGAGATTTTGAGTACCAAGAGAAAAATACTTACGAAAGAAGACCGAGAATCAGTGAATTGATGAGAACGAAAGAAGACAAGATGAGATTTTCAGAGGAGAACAGAGAAGATTGAGAATGAACAGAGAAGAACAAAACCCTAGCAAAAATGAATTCAATGAAATGAGGAGGCTTAGACGCTTAGTGGCTGACAGAAACCCTAGCAGAAATGAGTTGGATGAAATGGGCCTAATGTTGTATTGGACTGTGGATTGTTGGGTTTTTTAAAAAAAAATAATTTTTTATAACTAAATCAGTACCGGTTCCGGGTACCCGGATTGTCTGGATCCGGGACCGGGTACCCGGAACTGGAATTGGTTTAAACCGGGTACCCAGTGGGTACCGGGTCCGAAATTTTAGGACCCGGTCCCGGAACCGGTTACAACCGGGTCCGACATTTTGGACCCGGTCCCGGAACCGGTGGGACCAGTTCCGGGTCCGGACCCGGCGGATCCTAACCGGTTCCGGGTCCGGTACCGGGTACCCTGGGTCTTTGCTCACCCCTAGTTCTCATGGAGTGTTCGAAGAGAATCTTTGAGATCTTGTGCAAGAGCTGATATTCATAAATAAACAACTTAAGGAAAGAATTTTACTCGGGAGATTTGAAACACGTCTAATTTAAGTGTATTATATATGAGTTTTAGCTTGCTTCATATAAGACAGGGTTTGCAATTTGGGTTTGTGGTTCCAAATTCTGAAGAACTTTCTGTAAGATGGCATAAAATAAAAGTTTTCTTTGTGCTATGATCGAGTCTTAGGTTGCATGGTGGTCTGCAAAATCAACTTTCATCTGATTGGGATGCTGAATGCCTTCATTGACTAATTACATTAATGTCTATTTGTTTCTTTATTGGCATTTGAACTTTGAAAAGCTGAAAGCTGTGCCCAGTTACTTATATCAAACTAGCTAGCAAGTGGTTATTTTTGCATTCATAAGCAAGAATGTTAGTTTGCTAACTTGCCCCAGTAGCCTGTGCCTTAGTTTCTTCAGCAGAAATATTTAGGAGGTATAGTGAGACAACCTGCAAGGCTTGTCCAAGTGTATATTTAAATTCCACATGCTCATACTGATTATTAAATCTTATTAGCTTCTATGACAGATTATTTCTGATGCATACATGATGTTCTAAATGCTGAAGTGCATTTTCTTGGCTTTTGCCAGAGTCATTTAATTAGTAGCAGATGAAATCAGTGCTTATGTTTTATGGAGGTGCCTCTAATATAAAAAATGTGGACTTGTTTATGCTTCAGTTTTACTCAATTGTTTCTACTTTTTGCTGTTGCAGTAAGCAATGCGGATCATTCTCAAGCAGGGCTACACAAGTGCAAAGAGGCTTAATGAAGGATTTACCTGGTACCAGAGTGCTGGTTAACCCTGAGGCGGTTAGTTTAACAACTATCTTGTTCAGTTTTCCCTATTTTTGCAGTGTGAAAGTTCATCCTTTGATTGTGTACACCTTACTTACACAATATCATTACAACAACCTTGAACGGGATAAAAGGATGCCAAATGCCATGCAATTGTGTAGAAGTTCTTAGATAGTGGGTTGTGATAGGTCTGAGCATGCTTTTAAAATATTGACATCATGCTTAAATGATTATATCAGAGTACGAGCCTTTAAATGGCGCAGATTTAGGCAAAATTGCATATTATGTAAAGCAAATGAGGCAATATTGAAAACCTTGGCTGTTTTAATATCTGATAAAAAAATTCCCCTGAGCTATAAAATGAAAGTTTTCATTAATAGTTTAATATGGTGTCTTCTGTCTTTATGTCCACTTTAATATCTCCTTTGCCCCCCTCCCTTCTTTAATGCGTAAAACGTAGAAAGTTGGAAGGCTTGATTATTAATTAAGGCTGTACTAGCCCCCTGCTTTGACAACTGATGTCATGCTTTAAAATGAGAGGGGTGGGAAAAACTGATAATGCCATGTTAGTTTCTATTCTTAGACTCAATAGTCTCTATTAAATATTGACATTTTCCTCTCGTTTCAGCCAAGGAAAGGATGTTTTGAGATTCGGGCGGAGGGTGAGAATGAACAGACATTTGTCAGTCTTCTGGTAAGCTTCAAGTGCATGCAATGTTGTTTCAAACAATCTTACTTGCTTGCTTTATTAGTACTCCTATGTCATCATGCTGGTCCTAAGTATAATTGTTATACTTGAGCCGTCGAGTGCAGGCATGCATTGTTGTATATTACTTGTAAATTTTTTGATTGATGGTTTGGTTACTGGATGTATTAATTGCAGGATATGAAGAGGCCATTTAAACCAATGAAGGATCTAAACATGAAGGAAGTCATTGCAGACATCATCAAGAAGATTCAGGGTTGAAGGTTGGTGTGAACCTGTGCTAAGCTGAGATAGCTTCATTCTTTTGTGGTATCTGAGAACATTTGCTAAAATGTCAGCAATGAACTAGACCATTCTAGTAGTATTTCGTAAACCTAGAAACTAGTATATTACAATTGATGTAACAGGGTTAGTACTCTTGGTGAACTTATATTTCGTTTCAAAACTGTACACAGGTGCTAGCGTGATTATTGATTAGTCACTTTGATCAGAGCTTAAACTCAACTTATCTGATCTGATGATTCTGATCATCACATTTCTGCTATGGAAATTATTGTAGCTAGCTGGTTTTCTCTACACAGGCTCTACTTATGGTTTTATTTTGATGTGAAAGATTTTTACGAGACTTTGATCCTGCATATATCTTTGTCCTGAGCACAAGTCTCACTCGTGTTTGTTTCTCACTCGCTAATGGCTCAATAGTGGATAAGAAGGTACCATTTCTTCCCGTGAGGTTTGCAACTCTCACGAGCATTGAAGATCTGTGAATTTAATTTAGTTATTTACTCTTAATAAGGTTTGCTGTTTTTATTCATATGAATGTTCTCCTGAAAATACAAGTTGTCCTGCCAATCACATGTTCTCTTATATTAGGACTTTGTATATACATTTTGGAGCTGAAAGTAAATGCTAATATACCATTTAAAGCTATTAGATGATAGTATTGTTGCTTTGCTAGCAATCTTTTTAAAGCTCACAAGCCATCTTACAGCTGCTTAATGTGGAGTTTAAGCGCATTCCTAAAGCAGCTCCAAATCTGTAAAGAAACGTAGTTGCCAAAGTATGGAAAGGCGTCAAATTAGAGTTACTACAGGCAAAATAGAACAGCAGTTTGGATAAACAGAGTCTCGATGAAGATCTAATGCTACAAAGTACTCTGTAGTAGCTATCTCTGCTTCATGCATTACTAGATTGGATGATGATGAGTTACTTCAAAGAAAACGAACGTTAATATTAGAAAGGCCACATTTAATTTGAGATGATCCAAATTACTGAATAAACACTGGAAATCCAGCAGTTATGATCGAACTAAATTGTTGGCACCACACAATCAATAAGCTAAATTATAAGTATCAGATCGATCAAAATAGTTTGTAGTAATAATTAGAGATTGAAGATCTAAAACAGCAAACCTTAGGTGAATCCATTCAGCATGAAAGCGCCATTATTCCATGTTTAGAAATATAAGTAGTATCAAAGATTTGCCCTAACAGTAATAACTCGAGTTTTTTAGGCATTGCACAACGCCTGGCAACTAATTCTGGTACAATCTCCAAAAAAGAGGGGTTTCTTATAAAAACAGAGAAAATAGAATGATTTATAGAAATTTTAAATGATTTTAATTAACTAAGTAAAATTTTGTAGCACTACCATCACAATTTAAGAAAACATCATGCATGCGCCACAATTGAGGCACCAAGATATATTCAATAAATGAATTACTGTACGACAGTGGAACATGTTGCAATAAAAATTTCCAGTGGTCTCATATTTTATATATCATCAAATCATCCATATATATATACTTCGTATGTATATTACGTAGTATTTTGTATTAATTTTCGGTTTATAATATACTTGTATGTAGAATATCATTTTGGAGTAATTTGTTACGAGTATTTGGTTAAAAAAATGCATGGCAAAATATAATCTTGCATAATCACCGGTACAATATATATTAAATTTCATTTATATTTAATTTATATCATTCCACCACTTTCCTAGTACAATATGTTCAAAATGTAGAAGTACTTAGCTTTTTAACTGATAACCAATATAAGTGACCTGACACATATGTCGTACAAAAAAAATGGGCTAAAATTTTAATTCACCAAGATATCCTAACAAAATGCAACGACATATACCAAAGAATTGAATACTCTTTCTATATATCTTCCATTTTTCTTAATTACCCCATGACTCCTTTGAACATAAAACCCCAAATAGAAAATCAAAGCACATGCAAGAACATTCAAATTAAACTTAAATATACATTAACTTGCTAGTTAAGTTATAAGTAGTGTGCCAATGCTACCAAACCCATAACAGCAGCAACCACACCCCCAGCAACACTCAACCTTGCACCACCATTCTTGTGTGGGACCGACTTAGCAGGCGCCTCCTTATCGGCATCGTCCGCTTGTGGGGCCGGTCCCGGGGCCGGCCCACTAGCCGGAGCCGGAGAAGGGCCTTCACTATCGGCCCTTGGACTATCTGCGGAACAACCATCATCATCATCAGAGGGGCCAGGGGCGGGGGCCTCCACCGACTTAGGTGGTGGGGCGGCCGTAGGAGTAGGAGGGGAGGCTTTAGGGCTACTAGACGGCGCGGTGGGAGGTCCTTGTTCAAGGCCAGGAGTAACAATAGGCTTACTAATTTGAATCACGGAAATGTGGAAAGGCTGAGAAGCTAACACTTTCACCATCTTGGAGTCTTGTGGGGCCCCCTTGGCCGTTGAGCCGAAGACGATATCCCCGCCGGACTTGGAAATGTTTAGGAGTCCTTGCCCTCCGTTGGTTTTTCCTGTTTGTTGGAAGAGGTTGGTAGCTTTGACTGACTTGCCATCCAAGTTACCTAATTTTATGCTATCATAATAGTCAAGGATGACGTGGGTGGCAAGTATGTACCCTAGGGTTGTTTGTGGTACGCTTGTGAGGGGTCCCATGGCCGAGTTGTCGACAACGAGGACGGTGACCGTGCCTTGTTTGTTGATTCCGGCAGCCACACCGGTTTTGGTGAGGAGTTCATTGAAGGTGCTAAATTGTGGATGTTGGTCTAGGAAATAAGTAATGTTAAAGGCAAAAATTGAGGTGGTTGTTGAGAAAAAAATAATGGAGATTAAGAGGATAATATTAGATGTCTTGAGATTCATCTTTGAGATTGAAATAAAATTTAAAAAAATATTAATGTTATAATTCAATTTTCAAAGATGAATATATGTAATTATTGAATTATCCTCTTAGGTTATAAACGTTTTTATTCATGAAGAAAATAAAGAGCATGCAATATAAGTCTTCATAAAAAAATTATATAGCCTTTTGTTGATGACTCGATTAAATTATATAGTCTAATTATAGTTTTTTCCAACAATTTGCATGGTCATTATTGTGTGTATGTCTATTTTCAAGCTATTTTTACTGGTGAGAAAATAATGTTCATCAAGATAATTTAAGCCTATTTTTAAAAGTAATATAAGTACGTGCTAATTATAGTTTTACTTATCAAAAATTGTCAAAGTAATCATGAGAGCAGTAAAGTTATGAAATTCTATCTATTTTAGTTCTTCAAATTAGATTATATAGTCATTAGAACACAATAGCAGAGTCTTAATAAAATTAAGTTGAATTAGTTTTACATAATTCATTAATTCGATCTCATAACCCTAACTTAATGCTAGTGTAGGTTCGTTTTACATAATTCATTAATTCATTGAATCAAAACCATATACTCCGTATTTTAGTGTCTCTTTATCAAATAATATATATTGTTATATATATACGGCATATTTTAGAATTTAATAGTCTCTTAAATGAACTCTATATACATACATTTATACTCACTCCCACCGCTTAATTTTGTTTCTTCTTCCTATTTAAGACGCATAACTCTCAATAAATTACACCTTATGTAACTCATAGAGTATGATTCAGATAAGATACGGAGTATAATTGTATATATTCAATATCAACGGGGATAGATACATTGATGTCGTTCTAGAGAGGCCTAATACATAGTCAAATCACATATTTAATTTGTTTAATATAAAAACAGAAAACAAGAAGAATAACAACCTAACCCTAAGATATTGTGAACGTATGATCGATGGTATATAATAAAAGAACTAGTGAGCGAGCAATATTATTAAGCTAAGAACAAATTTAGTAGGTAATTATTCTTTTTTTAGGTGTTAATCTATTACATAGAGAAGTCTTTGTAATGTTAGGCATCTTGCCTAAAAAGAATTAGGGAATGTAAATTGGAACAGAAATAATAAGAATTTAAGATAGAGATAGATCGATATATCTTACCAAAATCTTTGTTTAATGGCTTAATGCAAAGATGAATTGTTGCCAAATAGACTTGATGCTTAATAATGTGCGTGTCAAATGTTCTTTACAGTTAATTAACAATATACTAGTCATTGATTTTAATAACTACTACTCCGTATGTGATAGAGTATTAGAGTAGAATATCCTCAATAAATGTCTTTTTACGCTATAATTATAACATCAACGAATTGTTCTTCATTCGTTGTGTTCGTTCTGTAATCGAAACAATAATACCCTTGCTTATGAAAACTCATTTGTGCGAGGAGTATGGGTCTATAGCTTGTTAAATTCAAGAATAATTGGAGAAAACGGTTTAGCCTCGCATTGATAATTAGGACAATATATATAAACAATACAAGAGACCTAATTTGCCAAAAACTCCTAACAAGATAAAATTAGACAAATATACAATATTAACATAAACAAATCAACCGCAGCCTATCATTAACGAATCTTATACATGCTCTAGAAAAATTCAAGGTGGGGAAAATGTTAAGATTGAACTAAAATTTGGGAAATGTCGAGAAGCTTTTAGAACTTTCTAGGATAATCTTGTACATGCTCTAGAGTTCTCTAAAATCTTATACCTAGGAGATTTGTACTTAGAATTGTGTAGAAGTCTCTAGGACTTGGTGTGTAGAAACTTTCATTTGAGAAGGTTAAGAACACTCTAGAAGAATGTTTCAAGTGGTAAGGAGGAGTATAAATAAGGATCCTCCCCTCATTTTTGTATCATTCACACAATTGTAAACTCTCTCAAGCATTAATACCCAAATCATTTTTTATGACTCTCTTAAATATTTTCGTGCTTGTTTTCTTACTTGTGCCTTTAAGTTTTCACACTTAAACTTTGAATTATCAACACTTAGCCTTGCTAAGTACTTCTGGGAGCTTTGATTAGAGTTTAACGAATGGTAATTCTAATAGGCTGCATGCAAAAAGACTAAGGTAATAGTTATCACGTGACACGATACTCATGATTCAACTTTCAAATATGCCCTTGCTTAGCTAGGAAAACTCATTTGCGCGACGAGGATATAGTAATACCAAAATTATTTTATAAAGTATTCGACAACTTCATTATCTTAACAAAATAGAGAATCTGTGTAAAAAAATAAAAAAAAAACAAAATAGAGTTTTCAAACCATGTATCAAAGTATATCACAACTTAACAAGAAATCAGTGACTTTAACTTGTATTAATAAAAATTAATAGAAGTCAAACACAAAACAACACTGCTATTTTAATTACCTATAACTTAATTACACCTTAAATATTAATTGATTTTCAATAATAGTACAACCTTGATTTATTTTGTTTGATAATTAAAGTCCTAACCATGCTTCTTGCCCATCAAATGTCTTACAATTCATACCATATAATAAGTCTTTGTCGTTTTCTTCCTCAATGCTACAATTATAATTATCACTTTGTTTTTTTCAACGAACTTTCTATCATTCTTTAAATCAGCAATCTTCACTTATTTTATCTTGTAAGTGAAGTGGGATTTATAATATTATATATATAGCAATATATATAAGTTATTAGTAGGGTGGGATTTATAATATTTTTTTTTGCTAGGTAATTCCAAGTAGAGTTGAAATTGGATCATATAACAGATAAACAGATAGATTATCAATTTATCATTGACAAACTTAAAAATCAAATCAACTTTCCATAAAATAAATTTGAAATAACAAATTAAACTATACTTCAAATTAATGTGTCTTGTGATTAAAGATAAGATAATTGAGATTTGGGATTAAACTTAGTTTTATTTATAATAATCGAGCGAGTTACACCGTGTCCATTTCGGGTTGAAATTTTCAACTCATACCTAACTTGTTTAATTTCGTGTCGATCCAATTACTTAAACAAGTCGGAAATTCTTGATTTAAACCCGCTTATTTCAAGTCGGATTCATGTTGAGTTATTGTGTCGACAACCTAGCCACAATAACTCATGGGTCATGGTTAAATCTTGATGGGGCTTATATATAGAACACCCTTTCTATTTTCCTGCGTTAATATAATTAGGATAGGCTTAGATTCTTGGAAGTTGAATTGAAACTTAGCAAATCAAATAAACATTTCACCAACAATTACTGAATCTAATTTTTCATCAATCAAGGCAACATATTTTAGATTATTTGTCTCGTTATTAATCATGATTAGATATACACTTCTGATATACAGCATATCTTAGAATTTAATACGGAGTATACTTTTTTAGAAGAACTATATACTTGATTGTACTCCCTCCGTTCCCTTTCTTTTTCTTATTTATGATGCATAACTTTCAATAAATCACACATCACCTTAAACAACTCATGCTGTATGAGTCTGATAAGCTAGATTCGCTTTTAACGTGAACATATCAAATGTCTTAATGAGATTTAATGCGTGGAATCACTTAATTTATTTACATAAAGCCAGAAAACAAGAAGAATATCAATCTAACCCTAACAAATTATAATAGTGTAAATTATTATATTAATTTTTGAATGAGCTAGTGAACAAGAGTATAAAGCACAAATTTTGTACGTACGTAATTATTCTTTTTACAGGTATATTAATCTATTAGATCGAGAGCTTTTTTCTAAGCATCTTGCCTAAAAAAGAATCATGACATATAACTGGAACTAAAGGAAATATACTACTTTGTATAACAGTATAAGATAGACATGTATATATAATGTATCTTAATACAAAATTGACAACTTTACGCAATACACTGATAAGATAATTTAAGTACTCGTAACTATGGTCAGCCTAAATGCCCTACTTTATATACGTAGTATTTTCTCTATTTTTATTTACTTGTAATACACTAATTTGACACGTATTTTAAGGAAAATGTTAAATTAGATAAACAGACACATTAATTCAAATATAATTTTATCACCAATAAGAAAAAAGTGTTAAGTTATCACGGTTTAGATCTTATAACTTAATTCATCTATTTACCTTTTCTAATCACTTCATCAAATATATAGCATGCCAAGAAGGTGTGTTGCAAACTTGCAATAACAAGTAGTACGTATAAAAGGCAAAGGCAAATAATTTAACTTATTGTTATTGTTTCATGAATTATTATGTTTCTAATATGATATATAATAGTCTTGAAACTTTGAGGATCGAAGATAATTATTTACGAGTACATAATAAATACGAAGTGCTAAACTACTCCATCGTCCCTAAAAAACCCTATGTCTTGTGGTTACACAGTATTAGAATAGAATTGGAATAACAATGTGATATTGCTGATTAAAGTTGAATATAAAAAGAAGGTATAGAAAAAATATAGTGGGGTTAGAGGAATTTCGTTGATCAAAGTGAATAAAAAAAGTTACTGTAATAGATAATGATACACACCAAACCACCCAGATGAAAAACAAGGCTTTTATTTACGGATAAGAGTTATTCTGTAATAAATTCTATTTATAGATAGAGGGAATAATTAAGGTTATCATCTAATTAAATTGTCTTTTATTAGTATTCGTGACTCTTCCATGCTCATATAGCTAACTAATGAGCTTGAACTTCATTAGTTGATGTCATCACATATTCTTTTCTCATCTTTTCTTTGATTTATTAGATTAATAAGCTTAATTAGTTACTAGATGACTATTTACATATAGTGTATTTATATATGAGCATGGAAGATGCATCTATCTTACTTTCTTTACTTTTTAGGTTGATATGCTAGCTAGATTAATTTTGTTCGATCTCCTCCTTTAATTTTCACGCCTATCGCCGCAGGGCGTATATTGATGCTCCAATCTCTAAATTTATCCTTTTTCTTTTTTTTTTTTTTTTTTTTTTTTTTTTTTTTTTTTTTTTTTAAGCAGTCTTTTGAAATATAACTACCATATTATTTTATGATAAATAATATGAGCGATCCATTTTTTTGTTTTGATGATTAGAGAAGTGGAAGTTGTTTGGAGG